ACATGAAACACGTATCGTTTTGTCCTAGATTGAAGATCTATGTATGAATCTTTACCACTTTTTGATCGTTTTATACCTACGTTTGCGATTCTAAAAAACATCTTAGGAATTAAGATATGACAGAAATATGTATGCCTCTTATGGAAACGAAATCGATCGACATTCTCTATTATCGGTCATCGATGTCTGACCGGACTGTGACTACAGAATAGGTTTCACCTATTCTATTCTGTGACCGTCAATAACATTGTGTGATATTATTATTAACTATAAATTAAACTACCTATACGCATATATACGTAGTTAGCCAACTTTATAGAAAAGGTTAACGGTTAACTATTCCTAAATAGGTATAATTAATTCAGCTTATTTTCAACAGTCGACTCTGTAAATAGAACGAGCGAATTATATAATAACATATTATTAAGTACGCAATTAGGGGTTGTGAACGTGGTACTCGAATTCACCACCAAAAATCAAGCAAACCCTATAACGTGGTACATTATGTAAATAATACATTGTTATAGGTATAAATATATAATAAATAAATTCAACCACCTGTATGAAGAAAATTGAAAAGAGCATGAAATCGAATTGAGAGAGAGGGGGGGATTAATAAATATGTCTAAATTATATAAGTACACTTACAATATTATTTTATCATATACCTGATCAACATAATATAATCGGCAAGCGAGCCCCACTGTTTTAATAACTAAAATTATACGTCCATCGCCCATAAAATGTGACAATATCATTATATTTTGTATAATGCAACAAAATATAGTGGAAAAGTGGGAGAGTATTGGCTATATTTCCCGGGTTACTGTTTCAGGTTTCCGGATATACGAAAAAATCCCGATGACGAACGCTAGCTATATCTAACGTAATAAATAATAATCGACCACCATACTTGCGTTTTCTCGGACGGAATTTTGTTTTTTATACATTACATTATAATATATAATTATAACGATCGTCATTATTTTATCTCTATAGTTATTACGTAACTACCGTTATAGGCGCGTTTTCGATTCCACGACGGCGTATATGCAGTGCATATAATATCATACACGCACAGCTATTATGTACATGTCGCCATGCATTGTTCTCTCCACGAACAGCTCTTTGCTGAAGCAGTTGGGTCACGGTAAAATTTCCTGAAACGAAACACTATATTCAGCGCACATACATGGTTATGACACTGCCTGTAATAATATAGGACATTTTTTAAGGAATTTTTTTTTACGTAACCGACGGACGGACTCGTTTCCTGGCGGTCCGTGGTATACTGCAGCGTGTGTCATATTCGGCGATATTAGTAGGTAGTTGAGTAGTGCACATTATAGTCGATTTAATAACGATATAATTCTAGTATTATRGTTTCATATCGATTAATATATTATATGAATCGCTGGTTAACTGAGGGGCAGCGAACTGGTATTTTATAGAGTGCATGGCTAAAAATGATAAACGATCCTCCGTTTCAGCGGCCTATCAGTTTATCTTCGTCGTTAAATTTCCAAATATTTTTAACGTAAAACGTTGTCATGATTTTTTAAGTGTATTGACTTATTGTACAAGCAAAACCTCTCTATTTGTTTGCATAAACTCGTTTTTTTCTTTTGTCAAAAACCACACAACTATTTACACTACAAATGTGTGTACATATATATTTTTAGTCCCTACTATATATATATATTCCATTGATAATATAATATGGTGTATCTGGAAGCTTTATAATATAATAATTGACAGTAATTTTTTTACTGAAATTACATTTAAAATTTTAAATGTACAATAATAAACAATATAATATTCCAGGTAAACCCGCTGTTAGGCATATTGTAGAGTCGAGAAAAAAACGTCAGTCGCACAAACTATACAGAAAACATAATTTTGTTGTTATTATTAGGCTATGGAAATATACAATGTGAAAGTAACTTGCGCTGCGCGTTTCTCAATCAGAAAGCATAACATCGGCCTTATACATATAGATTGTATATAGATATTGTGTGTATGTGTTTGTGTTAGGTAGTGTGATATGTTCGTGAATGTGTTCACTAATTAAGTATTATAACTTATAAGTATATGCGTTTACCGTTCTATACACTTTTATGCTAATTGCTAACATACCATGTGAGTGTGGCCATTATTATTATAAATATTAATTAAAACGCTAAAACAAAAAATTAACAATAATTCGTTCGGGAGATTTTTTTTATTCCGTCCCAGGTAGTTATGAAAACCAACTACAACACATTACCTGCAGCTCTTTAAACTTTAAAATAACACACACATGCGACTTATTAATATTAATGCGATTCAATAATATAATATAATCTGAAGATCTATAACGACTAACATTGATTTACCTTTGTTGCAYTTCGCCGACATTAATAATTTATACCATTATCGCTCACACACAAAAATGTCAATTATTTTTACCACTATTCGATTGAAAACGTGCACTTTGATCTGCGAAGTCACATGAAAATCCTTAATTATACGTCTCTTCGTCTTATAGCTAGAAAAAAGTTGGAAAGGTTAATAGTTTTATCATTCAGAATTTCTTCAGTGATTCATATATGACATAACACACACACACACACACACACACACATATATATACACTTTTGTGTTACATTACGTTTGTTTAAAACTATAACGGAACAGCTATAGTGACAACTGCATAAGTATCTACAACTGACTGCTATATACTGACGTAACAAAAATTAGGTACATATTATTTGTTATTATTGTAACTATTATTATTTTATCGGTTATTGTTCGTCTAATGTTTAAAATAATGTATACTCGTTTGGGTTTGGACTGGCGATGAGATAGCTACGTAAAATACACGGGTTKCTTGCAGGCACCTACTTACTTATATTAAAATTGAAATTCTACTGATCGTGTCGTGACTGCACGAGYTTTAAAAGTGATACGCGAATGATAATGTATGTATAGGTAGGTAGAAACAATAATAGCGAAGAAAACGACGAAACCCGAAATAAACGAATAGACACGCGCGAAAAATACGATAGCCCCTGACATCAATCACTAATCGTCATAATATATATATATATATATACACGTATGGATGTTGAAAATTGATTTCCGTCGACGCCGCCGGCCGTCTATTATTCGATATCGATATAATATGCAGTTTTCGTGCCTCATCATCGGCCATCATAGATGAGTAGAGGAAAGGAAAAAAAGAAGTTACTTATATACACCGCATCCCTCCCCGGAATACACGACTATAGTATATTATTGTGTAATGTATTAAAGACATTTAAGTCTCCAACAATACCGTTTTTTTTTTTCAATCACCGTAAAAATTACACCGTGATTACGGTGCTGCCATGTACCTATGTAAAATATATTATGGGTATAAATTGTAGCGGAGCGGAGTGCGCGTCACACAAACTGCCCATATACCGTTTTTTAAGCACATTTTTTACGTTTTATTTCCCACCGATCACATTATTATTATTCTGTCGTGTTGTCGTCGCATTTTCGCGTTTTCGCTCGACAACTCCGTCTCCKTGCGGTCGCTACGAAAGCGTATATAATCTGTGCTTGACTTCATCATATAGCTACTACGACACAATTACCGCGCGAGTAAATACCGCAACCGAGTAGCTRAGMTAAGTCGTTTTTTTTCAACAAAGCGAAATTGTAGACGGGAAGATGCCAGGTGACCCGTCGCCGGCGAAAGGTCGTTTGTTTGAAAATTAAGTGCTGTTCCAATCCTACGCTGTACCTATATATATATGTAAAAATGAAAATTGTTCGAATATTTTCATTCTTATTATATCTTATTGATTATTAGCTATTAAAGGGAGCTATAAAAAACAAAATAATTGTGAATTAAGTTTGACTGTAAACAATTACTCTTATAAGTCTATGCTATACAATATTCTATACAACCTATTTTTTTTTTTTAAAGAGAAACAAAATTAATTTTTAAATTGTCCTTGGCGTTGTTTTATTGACACCTATTGATTTTCTTTGCACAAAAAACACATACTTGAGGATATGAATGTAAAAATAAAAAACTATTTCACGAACGATTACAATGTTTATGTTGTACACCACATGCACTCCACACACACAAAKCCTAAATCTAGGTTGGTGAGTGGTGGTAACCTTTTTTCACTAGAAATGCCTCAAGGTGTTTTTGGAGGCAATTCAAGTTTGCCCAATAGTGTACTTACTCGAATACAATTTAATCCAAATACATCTAGATTGTAAATTAATATAATGATAGTAGGTATGTATATACGCGTGCAATATTATCACCTACCTATATTGGTTATTATGTCCATTATGTTTATAATATATAATTATTTTATTTTATTATACTATTAGTCAATATAGGCTATAACATGAATAGCTGTTTATCATCATATTCAGTTTTATTACTATGCTGGCGTATTTTTATTAATATATGTATATATATATTAATTTTTTATAACTGAWTATTAATCGTGCAGGTACCTATTGACTGTAGCCATAAAACTATTGAATTATCATTAGTCATTACTGTAACACATATGTATATGACATATTTATTATACAGTGACTTTTATAATTCATTAATAATTACGTTTTTCTTTCATGGAAGGGTAGACTTTATACCTTTCGGATTAAACATCATAATATGTGCATTCATAACATTTTTTTTTTGATTTAAAAGAAAAAACCAATATTTGAGAATCAACCAAATTATATTCAAATTATAAATTAATTATTTTATCTATAGAGGGGATGATTACGATACAACAGGGTTAACTGCCTATTATGTTACCTACCTAACCAATTAAATAGAATGAAGTTTTTAAAATTGGGAGGCAATTTGAGGGTCGATTGGGGGTAATAATCTGTAGATATAATGTGCTTAAGACACAATTTTTTGGAAAGTGTATTTTCTCCCGACACTATACTAACTTATAGAGTGAATTTATTTTTTCATATCATTTGTATTGTTACAGGACTCTGTGATCTGACCGGAAGTCCTCCGACCATATGGGTGGACCGAAATTGGGTGGTCGACTCCACGGCACCCGTCGGCACGGTGGTGGCTCGGGTTCGCGTGTCCGACGTCAGCAACGAAACGGTCCTGATGTTCGGGCTGGAACACTCGACGGGCTTCAACATCGTCCAAGAAAACGAAGACCCGTTGCCGTTCACCATCGACGAGAATGGAAGAGTCACCACAAACACGTCCCTAACGAACAAGGTATAATATACAATTATCGCCATTAAAAATAAAATCATCATCATTCATACCGCGTAAAGACTAAATAGTAAATAGTATTATACGTCAACGTTGATTATCATTGCCTCTAATCGCGTTGTAGTACTTAGAAATTAGATAMATGTTTTGTAATGTCAATCCAAAATCTTTGTGAGAGAATTTTGTTCTTACATTGTCGCGATAACCCGCAGCGAACTCATCTACAGGACAGTGTCTCGTGATGCCAACGTCAAAATAAACTTATCGTACCAATCTACCATTATGTACGTGTAACCGTGTAGGTACGTTGTCCCCATAATATGACATATTATTGTATAATATATAATATCCGGTATAGCCCATGCGCGTATACAGCGTACGCGTATAGGAAATAGGAATTATTATAATAACGGCAAATGTTAAATATATACATAATATTATATTATAATGTACCTCACTTTACCTACGTTGTATTATACTGCGCGTATCACGATTCGCGACTATTATTATATATGATCCGACACGTTCAATTATTATGGATAGACAATTATTATATTATTAGACGTGTAACATAATATTTTGTAGATGATAATAATAATATCATTATTACTGACTTTTCGTAAGTTTATTGTGTACCGACAAAATACTTATTTACTGATAAGAAGGGGAAGTCAATTTCGTATAAATAATAAAAATATAAATAATCATATAGCCAAAACACATGGTATAATAGAAACACAGCTATACAGCAATATAATAATAATATCATACAACGGTAACCACATAATATGTATGTAGATATAATAGATGAAAAATGAAACTAATTAAAAACTGTACAGTGAAAATATGCTAAAAATGAAAAWTGAAAAATGAAATTTAATAACAACAATAATGACACGTTAAGACGGAAACAATAATCTTAAATTTATGATTTGAGAGTTGAGAAAATGAAGACAATTTTTAATTTATAAATTTATAAACCAAATTCTAATAAAAATTAGGAGAAAAAACACAAGGTGATTCGTCCTCTTTTTTTCATTAATTTAGTTATTTAAAATATGAATTTTTGAATTTTTAAATATACTTAGAGAATATATTTTAAAACTCTTGAGATTTTTTGTACCACTTAAGAGAAGTATTGTGGGGATACAAACTTCAGTTTTTAAAATCAGAATCCACTTTTTTTCTAATATTAAACATTCTTATTTGAAAAACATAAATTTGTATCACCACTGGACACGACTATAGTAGTAAAAAGAAGTTTAAAAGTTTAAAATAGAGAGTATGTCGGGAGCATCCAAGGGGTGGTCAAGAACATATGTCATAAAAAAGTTATCAACCTTAATTTAGAGGGAAGCTATATTAGATTATATTTCGGTTTGGGTGGGATGAATAGTTATGATTAAGGCTGGGATTTCGATGCACTTTGCATTGTTTTCTAAAGCTTACGGTACGATTCTCGTCTAGTCACAAATTTGTTTTATGTACTTTTGAATAAGAATAAGAAAATTTATTTTGCAATTTTTGGGATTTTTTAGCTTTTAGGTCATWTTCTTAATTTTTTAGCGCATTTTAGAGTTTTTGGAAACCAAGTATGAATTTGAAATTTTATTTTAAGATTTTTACATCGACATGGTTTTTATATAAATATAGCAGATTTTAAGTAGATATAGGTACTCGTAATTCAAATTATATTATTGGACAAGGTTTGAGTAACCACTATCCACATTTTCTGTTAAATAATCTTAAATCAGTAAAATCAWCGTTCAATACGAGTACCTATTGTCGTCGTAAACACCGTTTTATTTATTTACTCTAGTTAATTTTTTTTTAAATTTAATATAAAAATGCCAAGGTAAAATGTTCGACAGCGAGTCGACTGCGTGCGTTTGTGCAAGAATTTGGACATTATATTTTTTCTACCGACGGATTGGTGTTATTTTGTAAAATATGCAACGTGAATTTTATATTCGTGCTTTATTTAGAGTTTTTAGGTCATAAAAGCATTTTTTAAGGGCATTTTTTTGGGTTTTTTAGGGCATTAAAATCCCAGCTCTAGTGATGACGTGGTTTGATTTTTAGTTAAGTTAGGCAACAATATGAACAAAATGAACAAAAATCTATTCTGTACTCTCTACACAATAAAAATATATTTACTCGTGCATAGTTATAACTAAAAATATTTAATACTTCCTTATTATAATATGTAATTATAGGCAAGTACCTACATATATTACATAATAAATGACTTCGAATTTCCGTATCTCTGTGCATGTATTGTTACATTTAACCAATTTTGAAATCATATTTCTTTGTTACGCTTACCTAGTTAATAATTTGAGAGTAATCGATACATAATAATAATATGTAACGTGCATAATATAAATCAAAACTTGTTCATTGGTTGTATTTCAATTTGCTTCGATGTCTTCATCAAAGTCACGACCAGAATAGTAATCTACAAAACTAATTCCTATAATAGTTAATTTATAATATTAATGTCTAAATTAAACGAAAAGTTAAGTTATCATCATTTGGATTCTCGACTATTTCGTATATTGGCCGCAGACACGTACTTCATAGGTTGATGTAAGCATATAATGATGGTACCGGGTCTAACTTATCATCATAATAGGTTATTATGTATAACCACCTAAACATTCTTGGTTTTTAATTTTTTATAACGTGAATTAGAGACACCTATTGATGAAACACAATGAACGATGTCTTTTCGCCCGTCCCGTTTCAACATATAATCGCGAGACCAAAAAACGTTCAATATWAAAACTAGTGATGTAATGCAATATTTTTTAGTGTATGGGTGATGTATACATAATAGATTATAATAACAATAGATCAGTTTTCTGGAGTAAGAAACTTGGGATATCGGTCTATAACAATAAATACATCGATAAGTAGTAAGTACAACATAATATGCAGTCATWATAAATGATTATTTTGCCGATCCATCGACACAACTTTATTTTATATAAAATAATAAATATGATGCAGTTTTTTTTTTTCAGTTTGTGTAGATCTGTAACTAATGTTTTAATAAATATATTTTTTTTTAAAACAGCGAATTTTAACTTCCATTAAATTGTATTTCCATTTATTTAGAAAATCAACTGAATTTAATTTTTCCAGTTAATTTTATAAAAAATTCTGTTTGGGATTTACTACGTGTCGATACTTTACTTGACCAACTTTTTTTTTATCATTATTAAAAATCAAAGATAAACTTGGTTCAAAATAATAATATGTAGGTATCACAACTTTTTGAAATCAATATTTTGTGTTGTAGGAAAATAATTAATATAAGCACATTTAAAATGATTATGTGTTATAGACTAATTAAAAAACAAAATCGAAAACTCTTTGAACTTAACATACTCGTATATTTCTGTACTTAATTATAGCCTTAATGCCTTATATTTTACCTAAATCTTTCCATTTTTTTCTGAATCATTTATTATATTATAGTTATTGACACTTCTTATTATCTACATAATTACAACTATATTATATTCAGATTTCATGGGAAATATAAGTTTTATAGTTTTGTATAATACTATAACGTATAGATCTTTATAAATTACGTTTATTGAGACGTATTCTGATAATATTTGATAATTTTGCTGTGTAGTAAACGGGTTAATAACCTTTTGACTTTTTGAGGAAGAGATCCTTAAGGTACAAGATACTTTTGATATTGATTTATATTTGTCTTTGTTGCATTGTTTCTTATTTTTATGAGTATATGAACAATAATCATGTCATAAAAATGTACACCATCTTTATCGATATTAAAGAAAGTATTGTACCTAAACGTTCAATCATAGTTTTTTTAAACTCATGAATTAACAACTTTTTTMGATCATTTTCTGGATTTTGATTACTTGGATCTTGCTAATGACATTTTTAGAAAATAACAACTATATCTCAACAAATATTTCTCTTATATTTACCGTAATAGTATTATACTACCTATTATGTCAAATATTTACTATTTTTTTTTTAATGAAAACGTTAACTGACAATCAAAAAATGGCTAGTTAATTTATCAATTATCAAGTTATGAGCCGTCAAAAATTGTAAATTTTAATTCTAGTAATAAATATTAATCTATAATTTCTTACACATCACTAATCAATGCTACTAACGCTATAGGCGTTACTTTAAATTTATTTTACTAGTTATTATAAATTCTTGGTGTACGTAAAGCGGTATTGGAATTTAGTAACTTTTTTCTTAAATTGCCTTTGTCGTGTTCTGTTTTTACTCGTAATTAAATAGCTCTATAATAATAAATAAATTTCACTCTAGGCGTAAACTAGATAAATTTATAAATAATAGTTATTATAAATGTTAAATATTGGTTTAGGTAAGTTAAATATAATAGCCCATTATAAATAACATATAAAATTAATATACATATTATAGTGATAGTAAACATGAATCACCTATCGTTTCCCGCTTTGAATCAAATAACTGCCGTCGTATATGTTTCCTTTCCTACTATATGGACTAATTATATATAAAAAATCTTTTCGTTTGTTTTTACGAAATATTGTTCTGTTAGTTCAATGCCGAATTTATTTGTTATAAAACTGGAGTACTGGTAAACTGGAGTACGTCCTAATTAGCATCTACAGTTTTTAATTACCTAAGTTATTAATGTATAATACATAATTAATATATTACAATTAAACGTAACTCCAAAATACCTCGGTATGTGTACGTATTAATTTAATAACAATAGGTGCAATGGGTAGGCTGTTAGGTACACAATAAATTAATATAGGATAACCTACACGAAAGCCAAAAGTAGAACACAGTGTTTCTYTGTTCCGTGTATAATTTATATAATATGTAACTACACGTCATTATTGTTACAACAAGTGTATCTGTTATTGATGTTATAGTGGTAACGTATAAATTAGTGTCTTCTACTTTCTACTAAGTACATGTGACAGCTAAGTTAAAAAAAAAAGGTTTAAAAACTATTGTGTTTGGGCATTTATGATGGTTGCTTAGAGTTTATTTGAAAACCCCAAAGGAATGATTGCATAATAGTATAGTAATAATAATAATAATTAATCAAACCATAAATAATTAAATAATTTATTCAAAACGAGTTTCGAAGACCCAGTAAGAAAATCCCTCACAAAATTGTTGCTTAAATGTAAGATTGATTGATCAGGATTTTAGACTTTCCTGTTACAATGGCGTTTTTAGGGGAGTGATCGCATATATTTAACGAGATGAATAAAAGGTGAATAAATKGTTGACATAAGAATAACACATAGGATAATACAAACAATAAAACAGTTTATTAAATAAAATTAAAAATAAACACTTCTTATACATTTTATATCATCATGTAATCGTGTACATAATATAGATTATGATTTCTGCAAATATTAATATATTCCTCCCCGTCAACCAAAATACATCCTTATTTTATTACAATTTTGTATTTGTGTGCGTTACAGGAGGGAAAAAACATTTACCTTTACGTGACGATCAACGATGGACACTTGACGTCCAAGACTCAGGTATGGGCGAAAGTGGAAGGACCCGGCGGTGGTGGCAGAAATAAGCCGAGTAGCGGAGGACTTCCGACAAACTTCTTATCACCACAGTTCCGACCACCACCCCCGCCGTCGATACCGATAAATGGGGCTGGAAGCAATTTTCCAGGCGTTGTGTTCACGCCTCCTAACAAAATTCTACCCCCCGGGCCGGCCAGGACATCGCAACCACGGCCAACGAACAAAGTTCCTACTGCGAAGCCRACGACTCCCATAGTCGTTGTCACGCAAAAGACAGTCACCGCTGACATACCCGTTTCCGAGACCTCCACATCACCGACCGCAGTTGTTAGCACAGTCCCATCAACCATGGAAATCGATGCAGCCATGCATTCAACTAACGGCATCATCACCATAAAGTCAAAGTCCAGTACCGTCGCCACCACTGCCGATAACATCACTGACACTACCACCACTGCCGCTACCACCACTCAGCCYGGTGAGACAAGAAACGTAACAGAACCAGCGCTCACCCCTCCCACAGTAACCACCCAACAACCAGTTCAGAATAACYTGGTCTTGGCCCTGGTACCCATAGTGRTCGCTACCGTGTTCCTGACCACGGCTGGCGTGCTTGCCTGTTTGTTCCGAAAAAGACTGTTTCCCTCCAAAGTCAAGTCTAAAAAAGTCAATTCAATTGTGAGTATAATAAATAATAATATTATATACCTACATTATGATGTAATATTATCACGTCACGATATTCGTACAATAAGATACTGGACAGTGGACACCCAGACCCAAATTAACTAAATCTGATTCTACGTTTCTTACATGACCCTCACATTCTTAAAAACTAAATTTCACTATAATTTTCTGTTTGATAATACGCTATTATAGTGTATCTTTCACAATTGACAACCATAATAGTATTAGTATATAGCTATATAGATACTTAATTATATTACCTTTACAGACATTGAAACATATTGCTGCAGTTGTAGTACAGCAAAAAAAATACGTTCTTTGTCGAATTTCGAAGCCTTATTCTGCAGCAATTGCAAGTTATCGCAGTAACGCACTCTTCTCATTTATAGACTTCTTCTCTTGAAATCTTTTGGRACTTTTCGTCCTATCGAAAYGTTGCGATTAAAACAAAATATTTTGATAGGACCTGTGTGACTAACCTATCCAGCTATTATTATAAAATTAGTGTCAATCATATTTTACTAACATGATATTATATATATATATATATAAGTAAAATATAAAGTTCGTGATCAATATTCGCACGTAACTGCATCGATAAATACACAATTTTATTATAATTTGTTCGTAGGGAAAAAAGAAAAGCTCTCGATCGGACGACCCGATGGTCATGCACCACTGGAGCGGACCACGATCATTCACCAGGTACGAAAGCTGGGGCTCGGATCCGTCGACCAATGGGCAGTACGTCGGTGGAAAGGAATCGGCGATCAAAGAAAGTGACCCGTGGGAGATACCTAGACACCACGTGAGGGTGTGCTCAATACTTGGAGAGGGTAGTTTTGGGCAAGTCTGGAAGTGCGAGGCGTACAACATCATGGGTAAGACACGTGTTCTGCCACGACTATGTTACGTGTTAAATGATAACGAACATAACAATAGTTATTGTAAACACTATATTATYCACCACAATGATCGTGATGATATCATCATCTCGACTTTGGCAAAAATGTTGAACACGACTAATATATAGCACGATACGGCTTGCGCGTATATTTGTTTAGGGTTCAAGGGCAACATGGTGGTCGCTGTAAAGACTCTCAAGGACAACGCGGGCGAACGCGAACGACTCGACCTGGTACAAGAACTGCAGGTGATGAAATCGCTGGAGCCGCATCCGCACGTCGTAAAACTCTTGGGATGTTGTTCGGAGAGAGGTATATTTATTACAATTTAACAAATATTATAGTGCAAAATGCTAACGAAAAAAACAAAATATCATAATCRTTGTAGATTAGGTACTTATGTCAAATAATCATTTAATTTTCACTTTAATATTTATWAGCAGAAAGATTCTATTTAAAACTATAATTTAGTAATAACAGTCATGGCTGTTARAAAATTCTCAATACTATAAATTATTTGTACATAAAATACATGGATRACATAAGACACCAACAAGTGCTTAAAATCGTATATATTTTATGGGTAGTCCTTTACATATACATTAAAATAATATATGGTTAGTAGATACATAATATGGATTAAATAAGAGGAGGGCTGTATAAGTATTGCAACAAAAACGCTTGCAATTAATGCCAATAGGTAAGCAATATTATCAGATTTTTTTTAGTTATTTCCAAAAATGAAATATATTTTAATTTATCGAATATCGGTTTTATAAAACAGCAACATATTATTATTGTATCATTGTATTGGATATCGGTAAGTATAATTGTCCATTCCTATATTTTCCTTAGTAACAAATTCSTTGCAACATTGGGCAAAATTGCATGGAATGTACTCGAGTAAACAATAAAATCTGATTATTTAATAAATTTTCATAGTCCCTTTTTTTGTTAGCTTTTTTCATATATACAATATACTTATATACTTATAATACGACTATATATACATTGATGTCTATAATTTTTAATAGCATTGATAACATCATGTAGGTACTCACCGATTATGATCCAACAATGATGTTGTACAACATGTATTAATTTGTTTTTTTCATTTCGTTTCCGCTGCAGATCCCTTGTTTGTCGTTATGGAGTACGCGAAATTGGGCAAACTCCAGAGCGTGCTGCGGAACTCTCGTGGCGTAAATTACTACACGAATACGCACGGGCCGAGTTCGTTGACGTCGCACGAACTCATTATGTTCTGCTATCAGATCGCCAAAGGAATGGACTTCTTGTCGTCGAAAGGGGTACGTTGAACTTACTTACCTATATACATGCCTATATAATATTAGATATATTTAATTGTATATACAATGAACAGATGACTGCACGCTGCAATGTTAACGATTGCGTTTCGCGCTCCGTGAATTGTTATAATATATTATTATGATCCTATTGTAATTGGTGCACGAAGCGTTCAGTTTGTAAGCGCGTAGGAACTCCAAAGACGATATAATTATAGTGTGCCAACGGAAAAATGAAATTCCTTCAAAAGTCGCAGATCCGTAAAACAAATGTAGATTGTAGGGCGTAGGCATATAGGTATTCATATATTTTTTTATTGTTATTAAATATTACGAATACACTAGTATAGCTCTAAGCACTCATACATTAATTTTACTTTGTTTTTRAAAATCAAATGTTATTATTATCCACGAGAGCTCGTCGATGATTAAGACTTCCGACAAAAAGTATTAGGTATGCATAAAATGATTAAATAAATAATTCATTACGTACATATTTAAAAAGAATGACAAACGCAAATTTGAAGAAAAATAGTTCAAAACATTGATTTTAGTATATTAATATTTAATTTTAATAAAAAAATTAAATATAGAGTTCAAAGTTTTAAAATGCAAGTTTTCTTATATTTGCTTATTTGTAATGCATATATTCCGAGCTTAGCACATTCAATTGCATCTCTGATTTTTAGTGCCATACCTAGTTTATTTGTGATTCTTATGATTATTAATATCTAATGTACATATTAAGACTACAATAACTGTCATAATCTATTATAGTTTAATTACCAAACCAGCATATAGAACACTGTTAATATAAATAAGTGTGATTGGTAAGTGGTAACTSAAGATACGAAAAACCATTTAGCACAACTTCAAAACGTATTTTTCATCCAATCTTACAATATTTTAGTATAATATTTCACATTAACATATTATAATAACTAATAAGTATATAAATATTAAATATTTCTCAAGTGTATAATCGAGAACGTAACTTTTAATGTACTTATATGTGGTACTGATAGTACGATGAAACAGAACAAAAACTACCGATCATCATTTATAATTTATTAGAGTTAATCTTTCGAAAACCAATACTGCGTAAAAAATGGCGGCAAACTGATGGATTTCAATTKTCGTGGTATACAGCTCTACTCATAGACACGCAGTTGATGATTAATATATCGAATAATATTATAATCTATTAATTGGTCAATCAATTTTCCTAATTCTCCGTGGGCGCGAATAATAATTTATACATTGAATCGGGTTCTCTGTTTTAATATATCACTCGAAAGAATTCCGTACAACTTAACTCATAAACTAATACATGTCTAACGACCATATTTCACATTTCAGAAAATTACGCTTAGATTTACATCCGCTGTATAATAATAATAATAATAATATGTTCCCATGAACCGTGAGATAAATAATTTGACTAAAAACTCAATATAAAAATGAAATAAACCTGCGACCTTGAATGCACGGCTGTAATTACAAACATATATTATATATTTACGGTTTGCTTGTTCTATACGAATCACGAATAAAATATGTTATGTTATTAAAGTGGCTCTGGGCTCTATAATAATAATTGCTTTAATAATCTTTATATAATAGCCGATGATAAATACAATTCTGAAAACAATTTTAAAATTATTCGCTGAAAATACAATTATAGGTAGGTATTACACAATAATGGAAACCTTTAATGTTGTTAATTATTAACTGATGTTGTACCTATTCAATTTCAATAATTAAAAATATTTATTTTTTCCATTCGCATCTCCGCGAACATTCGGATAGGCCATTATTTCTCGTTTACATTTTACAGAAAATTGAAAAGCTTAGGCATGCGGGATTCCAAAGTAAAAGATACATACATATACGCTTATTATGATAAAAGAAAAAAGAAATATAGAAATTTACGAAAAATATCAAAAGCAATAACATTATACACCAACTTACTATTGCTGTTCAGTGGTACTTTGGTACATTTTAACCACAATAATAATTAATGTTGTTYGTGTATTTGGACTTTTATATACATCCATATAATGTAGAGTAGGTTGCAGTCATCAGTACAATACTGCCGTGTTGTAGAATGTCGTTCATTGACCGTCGCTTGTTATTATTATTATTATTATTATTTTGTGGTTTCGATTCAGATAGCGAAATGTTTCTGAAAAACACGCCTGCGATTGTGCAGTTTCGTTATAGTGCGAAATCATTCGGGGGCACACGAGGGCAATAGCCGGTAAATTCGAACCGCGYGCGGTGACGCGACTAATAACATTAGTATTCATTAAGGCGGATTCCCACTCGGTGAAACTCCAAAACGCACCGACCACAACACATTGTGCAATTAATAAAAACATCGATCCTACACAAAATCTATATCGATGATAATAAACAACACCGACAAACCGAACGGGACGTTTTCCCAGACAGATGAYGACTGAGTTTACAGCACCTACACCGCGTCCTAGACCCCACTCCGACGGAATCAACGCACCGATAATGACAAATTATTAGAAACACATTATTCGTGTACAGAGTGTATTTGACAGAAATACCTGACAAATCAAATAACTTTTGTTCTAATCATGAAGACTAGAGATAAGGAGGCCAAACTCTACCACAAAAACCGTCCCGTAAAACATCGCAGACTAATTTCTCCACCAATATGCGTGGYGGTCAAATGCGAGGCTGGCTTGGAGTAAAATTAACCCGTATTAGATAGGGACATACTCGACTTWATTAYYTWWAAAAAATTATAATTAAAAAACTAAAAATGGTATTTAAATTAGAATTTCACCATCGTCTTCAGCGCAAATTTATCTTTAAGATTAAATTACAAAAATAATATTAATGTTCTATATTTACGTAATAAATATACATACAAATAGTAAAAATGGGTAAAAATGTAACAGTAGGTATTAGGTATATATTAGGTATTTATTACAGTTTGGATACTTTCCTGTTTTTCCATTGAATTCCATTTAACAGATGATATCTCTTCGAATTTCTCTATACGAGACCTGAGAATTTTTCCTATACATAGTGTGTTTTTAAGCAAAAACAGGTTACATGCAGTCTTCTTAAAACATAGTATGCGTACTTTTTGAAAGACTGAACACAAAAAATTGTAAAAAATTATATTATATTCTATAACGTTACAAATGCGTTGTATATCGACGCGTTTTACATGATCACAATGATACACAACGGAAAACGGCTCGTGTACGTTCGGTTCCGGTAAATTGTATAGTGGGTGACAGACGAGGTGTGACAGATTTGTGTTTGCCGGTGGGTGGGTAGCAGTGGTGGAGACTATCGGACAAAAAAAAAATTGTTGCAACGATTCGCGAAATCATATTTTCCACGCGTTCAAAGACCCCTTCAGTAGTGCGATTTTAAAGTTTACCTATATGACATATATGCATAATACATGCTATGACAATATTAACAAAAGCTGAGCTCCAATTTCTGCCAAATTATTTTTTTACATCAATACGACTATGCATCGAAACTTCGGCATACATTTTGCACAATTTTGRCCGACGCCCAAGTCTCACTTATGGCCTGCACCACGGAATAAATAGTAATATAAGTATAATACGTTCCGGTATCGTGTCTTGACGTATTTCTTCGTTCTGCGCATTTTCCACGTTTATACCAAAATGAAATACCAATATGACGCCGAAATCCTCATCAACTATATGACTACTGTAGCTGATAATAATATATTTTATCATTTTTTTTTTTAGTAAATACTTGTCTTTTCTTTAGATAAATGTAACCACACTGGTGATCAAAAGTTGAAAATATATTCAACTATGTGATAGCGTATGGTTACCGCGGTTCAAATAGTGTTGAACATTAAACATATGGTATACCTTAATGAAACCACGTGGTTCAACCAACCAGAGAAAATTATCTTATACGACAAGATAGTACGATACATCATACGCGGCATAGTTTGAACCCCCTTTTAAAATGCAAACATAGAATAGTAAAACGTGAGTGTACAGTCTTTGAGAGTCTTTAGAAATGAAAAGATTTTATATTTTTTATTATTTGGTACTAAATTTACCAACCCCCTCCTCACCAATTGCAATACTATTTCCAAACTACTATATGAAAATAACCAGTGGCGTATTTGAGGATAGGGAGGGGGCGATCGCMCTCCATTCCTTGAAATATTATTGGTTTTTATACGGAAAAAGTACAAGCAAGTAGATTAAATATGCTACCAGAAATCTCTTTGAAATTGAATATTTATCACAATATATCTGCTAGAAAAATAGCATCAGACACTAAAATAAAAATAAAAACAATTAATTGTAAATAAAATAGGGTAGAATTTAAGCTTGTGWGTTATAACTTTAGTGTCAACGCCTCCACCCCTCCYTCCACACATAAAACTAAGTCAAATAGGCACTGGTCATAACATTGTACCATCATATAATTCATAATACGTTCAATTTAGTTAGTGCTAGTCGTCGTATTATATTACCTGATAACACACGTACGCTCGTTGTTCACAGATCATACACAGGGACCTGGCGGCCAGGAACATACTGGTGACGGAGGAACGGACGTGCAAGATCTCCGACTTCGGGTTCGCGCGGGACGTGGCCAACAGCCGGGTGTACGAGCGCAAGTCCGAAGGCCGTCTGCCCATCCGGTGGATGGCGCCGGAGTCGCTGTTCGACAACATGTACTCGGCCAAGTCGGACGCCTGGTCGTTCGGCGTGCTCATGTGGGAGATCGTGACGCTTGGCTCGACGCCGTACCCGGGAGTGGCCGCGGCGGACGTCATGAAGCGCATCCGGGACGGATACCGGCTGGACAAGCCGCAGCACTGCCGTCGCGAGGTGTACAACATCATGTTCTACTGCTGGGACAAGTGTCCGGACGACCGGCCCGACTTCGCCGAGCTCATGGGGCTGCTTGACAAGCTGCTGGTCGACGAGACCGATTACATACAGCTCGACCGGTTCCCGGACAACGCGTACTATAACATCACCACGTGCATCAGTGGCGAGCGCCTGTGACGGAACTCCAGCGCCGCAGCGGCCGCCGACGCCACTTCCGCCCGGAAGTGGAGCCGGCTGCAGCGGCGACGGTATCCTGCTGCAGCGAAACCGCGCAGTCGTTTCCGTTTATCATAATGTAGTATTAAATTTTTTAAAAATTGTACGTATTCGGTGGTCACACGTCTGAAGAAAAAAGATGTATAACATAAAAATAAATAAACACTCTCGTAGTAGCTGACATTATACGAGTATGGCACGATAAAAATATTTATTACGATTTTTCGACATCMGGTCAGCACGGTATTATAATGCGACAATAAAACTGCRTGCGATCGCACTGTATACGTGAATGTATCAGCTGCATAATATTATTATTGTATGTATTTTTTTTATTTTCATTGTTTATAAAAAAAAAAAAAAAACAATATTATACCTATGTTAAGAATTTTAAAACTTCGTTGACGTCGTTTTTTTTAGTTTTCACGATGTACCCTCCCTTCTTATTGCTCATAGTATGACGTTATAATAATTATCATACAAATACCATGTTAGGATGATTGAAACGAATATGAACACGAATGTACAATGGGTATTTCGTTGTTTTTTTCCAAAACAAAATCACTAGTCTTTTTTAACTTTTGTACTTATAGTATCGCGACTATAATACGTAGTACTTTTTTCATATTAATGTCATGTTTTTCTGCAAACGTTATTTAATATAGTTTAGGTATTATATGTTGTATGTACGAATGTTATATAATTCTGTACGGATAATACGATAATATTATGTATATATACATATAATGTAATTATTGTAATATATTATAATTATATTATATTATTTAGTACCAAAAATATATTTATGCATTATATTGTATCCATAAATTATAATGTGTATTATAGTTGCAAGTACTCGATTTTATATGATTTTTTTTTTTAACTATTATTATTATTATATATTATTATTCATATTTTGTAAGCGGTTATTTGACTTCGCGTTTCCGACGACTGACAAAATAGTATTATATACCAATAAAATACGTAAAAATTAAAATTAATCAACTAAATTAATTCAAGCATTACTATACCTACAAATATTTTTACCTAACAATAAATAGTATACAATTATACTGCAAATACTTTTTGCTCCTGTTGTATAAAAATTTCTCATAAATAATAAGATACACGCATGSAAACGTAGAAGTGTTGACATGTCTTTTGAATTTTTGGCCATAAAATTCCATACTTCCGTTCGTTTTTCGCTTCGGTTTACTATTGAACAGTGATGAGTAGGTACACTGAAATTACTATTGATACAGATTATTTTTGTATGAAAAAAAAAAACCGAAACGATAAAAAATTGTTTGCGTAACTTTTGTTCATAATAAATTGAACGTATACAATTTTAAATTCATGACGTCATTTTAAATGTTAAAATCAAACTAAATACTTAACATAATACTATCGTAGTAGATGAGTTATGACAAGGTTCTTTTCGTATTAATTAAAAATTATTATTATATTTAGACGAATCACAAATACCAAAATGTTGATCATACCTAAATTATATAGACCAGTATATTTGTATCATACCACGAAAAATATTATGGTACCAGGCACGTAGCCAGACTTTTTTCACTAAGAAGCCCCTTATTCCTATTTTTTGTACACCCTTCCAACCCWCTCCTCACAACACAAAATCTATAAAGTTCAATTCAAATGTAGGATAATTAATTACACATAGTACCTATAAATTATGACATGGACACCAGCCTTCTCAGTGGCGTCCAGTATTTCATATGTATATGAATTTAAAATATAATTTTTTTTTCATCTATTATACTTTAAATGTGTCAACATAATTATTTCGTGTTTTTATGTTTTCACAAGTTTTTTTTCAATATTATTAATACAGTTAAAAATATATTTATTAAATATGGTATAATATGTWTTATGATCTGAAGATATGTGATGCGTATGTTAATAAATTAAGGAGTAGAAGTTAAGAGGAATGGTATTTTGTTTATTAAGAATGTTAGGGCTGCTAGAAGGAGGTCAAGGATTAATTTTAAATAAATAAATAAATATATATTCAAGATTTAGTAAAATTAAATGCCATATTAACGCTGATATTTATCTCATAACATAATAATGTATATTGTTATAAATTACTGCTATACCTAAGTTTATGTCCGCGCAGGGAAAGCTTTATTCGATATCATCAGTGGAAAGTGCCTTTTTTTACAAATATATGAGGGATAATATTGATAGGTTAATATTAATAAATACAATTTTCACCATAGTCCCACTCCATATCTTAAAAACCCACATTACCACAGACCTTTATCCTTAAAACACAAAGTTAAATAACTTAAAAATTATTTATTTATATATAACTGTATTAATATGTTTAATTTAAAAACAGGCCGCAGTCCACTTCTGAAACTTTGGARGCCACGGGTTGGACATCACTGTTCTAAATAATATACAGGGTGATTCACCAAGCATGCTCACCCACCTTTTTTCATTAATAATACAGTTATTCAAAATCTGATTTTAGAATCTTTATATAATACTCGAAGACCATATTTTCAAATTCTTGATATTTTTTTGTACCTGTAAGGTATATGTCCTGTAGTGATACAAACTTTTGTTTTTCAAATGAGAAACTCAAAAAAAAAATCAAAACTCTAATGAGTAGTTTTTAAGTTATTTAACTTTGTKTTCTGAGAATAAAAGGATGATGGTTTAAGCTTATAAGAYATGTTTCTATGGTAGATTTGAAAATATTAGTCATTAATATTTATCTATCAACAAATAATTTGTAAAAATTACCTAAGTATCATAAATACTAATTCCAACAGTACCTATGTGTATTTTATACTTTTATAAAACGATTTTTAAAGAATATTATTCTTAGTATAAACATTTTAATAACTAAAAAACTACTCATTCAAATTTTTAATTAGGTACATCAAAGTTAAAAAAAAAATTATCTACTAAATAATTTACAGTTAAAAAGAGGGTTCTCATTTGAAAAACAGAAGTTTGTATCGCCACAGGGCACTCCTTAAGTAGTACAAAAAATCTCAAGAATTTGAAAATATGGTCTTTGAGTATATATATATTGAAAATTCCAAAAATTAGAATTTGAATAAATTCAATATTAAAGTAAAAATGGGGGGGATGAGCATGCTTGGTGAATCACCTTACATAAAGAAATTATACGCTCTACAATTCATTTGTATCTTTATGAATTATGCGTATATATTATTTGTCCGCAAACATGGCGATCATATTTTATACAATATGCCTATACTTCAAAATCTAATGTTTTCCTTATTTTAAACGAATTTACTGTCACGTACTCACGAATAACCTATATATTTAATAGATCTGACTTCATATTTTATTATCATTCATTATATAGTAAGCTACAGCAATGC